AGTGGCTGCGGGGCCTGCCGGACAGCCGGGTGAGTCCCCGCAGCCCCCAGCCGCGGGCCCTACCCACAAAGAGAATCACAGAATGGTTTGGGTTGGAAGAGACCTTAAAGATCCTCCTGTTCCACCCCTGCCATGGCAGGGTCACCTCCCACTGTCCCAGGCTGCTCCAAGCCCCAATGTCCAGCCTGGCCTTGGGCACTGCCAGGGATCCAGGGGCAGCCCCAGCTGCTCTGGGCACCCTGTGCCAGGGCCTGCCCACCCTGCCAGGGAACAATTCCTGCCCAATATCCCATCCATCCCTGCCCTCTGGCAGTGGGAGCCATTCCCTGTGTCCTGTCCCTCCATCCCTTGTCCCCAGTCCCTCTCCAGCTCTCCTGGAGCCCCTTTAGGCCCTGGAAGGGGCTCTGAGGTGTCCCTGGAGCTTCTCCTCTCCAGGTGAGCACCCCCAGCTCTCCCAGCCTTTGCTAAACCAGCACAGACCACCCCCTGTGCCGACCAAGGGATGGGCAATTTGTCTTTCCCACTAATGAAAAAGATGTCATTCCTCTGGATGTTAGAGCAACCTAAGTTTTACATCAAGGATACATCAAAGGCCCTTTCCAGCCTGCTCTGCTGGAGGTTCAGGGACCTACCAGAGCCCCATGTGATGTGCGGAATAAAGGGACTCTATAACTAGCAGAGTAGTTATAAGAGCAGGTATGAATTTATTCAGCGCTGAGGTGCATGGGGATATCTCCTCTCCTCCAAAAAGTATGCACACCTTTTTGATTGGGTTTTCCCTTTTTATCCTTTACAGACTAGGTTTACACGATACGCCTAATACATATTCATTTCCTAACCCCCTTGTCTTCACTTCATATTACAATTAGCTTCATGCCTCTTTCAGTCTTTTGGCTGCCTTTTGGGACTTCAAATCCATTTCTTCTGGCTTAGGGTCCGAGGAATCTCCTTTATCCTGTGGTGCCTTTGTCTTTGCACCTTGTTTGTGTATTCCAGCTCCTTATCTCATCTTGCAGTTTGACTCTTTTTCTTGTTCTTGTGGACTAGGGTGTCAGGGTATGGTTTTTGTCAGACACCCCTTTTAGTCAAGCATTTCTTCCTAATTCATAATTTCTCTGTTTCATATGCACCCATACCAGAACCAGCACATGAGATGTGATGTTGGTGTGCAGTGAGGATTTGCCAGCAGACTGCTTTGAAGTGCTCAGGAACCAGAATCATCTCCTTCCCTGGATGCAGGTGGGAGGGTGGGATGTGTAAATGGGTCAGTACACTTCTTGCTCCCTGGGCTGAGAATTTTTCCTTTGTGTCATCTCCCCTGGAGTACTCCACATTCTTAAAGTAATATTTTTAGGAAGAAATTATAAATAACCTGTTTTAAATTATTATTTTAAAATTAAAATTTTTAGGAAGAAATTATAAACCTTTTGTACATTCATGTCAGGTAGTCCCACCTGAAGCCACTTTCAGCAGGCACAGCATTGTAGAAATGTGCAGTTTAGACCATAAAAGAGTACAGTCTTTCGTACTCATTTTTGAGAAACTTTTTTGTAAGTTTATTTTGTCTGGAATAGTTCTCTGAGGTCCCTTCCAGTTAATTTTCCTGTCTCTGATATCCGTGGATGGAGATAATAATTTGATTTTGTGGTATCTTTTGTATAATCACAAGGTCATGGCCATGCTTCTGTTTAACTGTAAATATTTTTGAAATTAGAATTGCTCCTGACAGAGAGGAGGATGCCTGAGGCAATACAGGCTTAAATGTGGAATTCAGGATTCAGAGCACCTGTGAGTAAACTAAAGGGACACTCACTCCAGGTGCAGTCACAAGCTGCAGGCAGAAGTGATGCCCAGGGAGGTACATTGTCAGGCACAGACACAACCCTAACCTTTTCCTCTGCATCATAAATAGTGACAGCAGAAGTATTTTTCATAATTTTAATGGAAAGATAAATTAATCCTTTAAAAACATAATGAAATATCTTCAACTGTATCCAGTGCTTGCTTTCCTGGCAAAGCTTGGAATGGTTTTTGAAGGGGAATCTTTTACTTATGTATACCCACGTCAGCCTGTGTTTGGGGACTCTCTTTGCTGGTGACTTTAGATATTTCTTTTCTTGTTGGTTTCAGTCTTGTTACTGCTCTTTTATTTTGACTCCTGACTTTAAGCAGCTATTATTTAATTGCACATACCTCCATTCACAGCACTCCTGTGATGCCATCCAGTTACTGCTCCCTGGGCCTTCTTCTGCACTGGTGTCACCAGGCTCACTTGTGCTGGGCTCAAGCCTCCATCCTTTCCTCTGGACTCTCCACTTGTGCACATGTTTCTTGTGACACCACCACTCATCCCTAACCTTCCAACATTTATGTTCCTTTTTTTACCTTCCTGGCACAGGCTTCACCTTCTCCATCTACAAATATCCTTGGGTATCCCCAGCCATGTGTATCTCCAGGATGAAGATTCACAGATCTCCCTACTCCTGGTCTCACCCTGCAGCTGTACTCCAAATCCCTCTGCTTCCAACACTGAGTGTGTACTTAATGGGTACACACTCAGAAAGGAGATACTGATTTTTTTCTCTGCCATGCCACATCCCATGTTGTGTGCCAGATCCATGTTCTTCCTGGGTGGTGTCTTTCATGCAAAATTCAACATTCACTCCATCCACTGCTTTACAATCCTCAGTCCTCACACATCTCACCTCCTGTAGCCTCCTTCTTGAACGTCCTTCATGTCTTCAGTGGACTTTGTCTCGTGGGAGAGAAAACAACCTTAATCACGACTTCTGGCCACCAGGAACACCCCTGCCATCCACCTCGTTCGTTCCAAGTTCTATTCTGCTTTTTTTACCCTGTGTTTACCTTTGACAGCTGCAGTGGCTGCTTATCATCGCCCCTGTCCTCCTCACCTCCTGTTCCTTTGACAGTCCAACAGTTCTCCTCAGCTGTCTCGTCTTCAGGCATGGACATGGTTTCCTTTTCATTTGTCCTGGCTGACACCCTCATTTTTTCCTGCCCCATTGGAAACTCACACAACACTTGCTGAGCAAACCTGTTCTGATTTCCAGTGGCTATGGGAGGGGTTCCAGGCCAGGAGGCTGTGGGAGCTCCCTGGCTGCCCAGTGTCAGCTTTCAGGCTCGGTGGAACCCAAGTGGGGCATTCACAGCTGCATTGTGAGCACCGGCCCCTGGCTTTTTCATGATGATGTGATTTTCAGTCCCTCTTTGCTGTCTTGGCAACCTGAGGTCAAAGAACATAGATGCTTCACTGTGTGGCAGCGTCTGCTTTGGGTTTGTGGTAAATGAGGTAGAAAAAGATGTAGTTTTAATCACCTAGAGGTAATGCAGACAGTTGCAGAGAAGTACATGAACTAACCCAAACTTCCTTTTAACTCTTTTAACCTTTTAACTGTTTGGTTTCATGTACGTTTTCTTAGGGGAGATTTTTGGAATGGCTATAGAAGAAAATATTGGATTAAACTTAGAATCAGCTGAAACCATTTCCATAGCCAAGGGCAGCTGCCTCGGCCAAAGGCTTGGAGCAGGGAATTGTTCTCACTCCTGTTCTTAAACTGTAAGAGCTCACATGAAGCTGATGTGCTGTTGGCCTTGTGCCTGTCCCAGAGTAATCTATGACCTGGGATCACACAGACCTTGGAAATAAGAGATAAAAATCATCCAGTATCTATGGACATAATCACAGATGTTTTCATTTTTTTGTTTCTAGTTTTTCCCTTTTTAGAGTCAAAATTAATATAATGAATTTTTTGAATGGTTTAATTTCTGATTGATAAATCAATACAGATATTGTTTTATAGTCAAAATATTGTTTTTATTCTACTAAAATTTTACTCACCAAAATAAAAACCAGTTCTTTTAGCCTCTGAGGCTGAAAGGAACCACATGTTGGTGGTTAGTGTTGAGTTGGCAGTGCTGGGTTAATGGTCTTAGAGGTCTCTTGCAACCTAAATGATTCTGTGATTCTATTAAATTTATCTTTTTTACTTGAAAATAATTCTATGGTTTACCTAGTGGGGTCTGTCCTATAAATACACAAATGATTTTATCATTATGTGTCTAACAAATCAAGCCTGTGTTTTGGTTTCAGGACTGTCTAAACCATTTGCATGTTGTAAATATGGGCTGCAGTCTTTAAATCTGGGCTGTCTCTAAAAACATCAGAACCATCCCGACACCCCCTCAGTCTCTAGATGAAAACTTAGTGTATTGAACACAGAAGCTTTATGGGGCTTGGTTTAAATCAGTCTAAGTGCTTATATTTTAAAACGTTTTTCACCATTATTCTGTTTTGTCCTTTGCCCCTAGCCCTTCCTGTGTTCTCCAAAGAAGAGATGCAAATTAAAATCCTATGAAACAATACACTCCAAGTTTGACCTTATTCACCAGCTACAGAAGATCCACTTGCACATGTTTTGACACACATGGATTTGTTTGTCACTGGAGTCAGAGCTGTGTGGTTTTAGGCTCAATAAATGTATCAGCAAACCATTTGGGAACCTAAACACACCAGGTGAACCAGCAGTGTTTTACTGGGCAATGTCACTGGGATAGGGACCTTGAGCATCCCATTGTCCTATGGGTTTGATGAGGTGGCTGAGGGACACAGAGCACAAGCCTGCCTTGTTTCCAGGTGGGATTTGCCTTCCCAGAGGGCTGCCAGGAGGAGAGGGAGCAGGCAGCTGGAGCTGGCCTGGAGGTTTGTGTGGGAAGTTGGAGGGATTTGCTGTGCTTTGGCAGCTGCTGCCAAAGGTTGTGAGGAATTAACATGAGTTACTCCAAGAACTGGTAGTTCTGTTATACTGAAATACTAGTTATTCCCGATTTACCTGCTGATCTCCCCAGCTGGATTCATTGTTCCTCTTTCCTCAAACTCAGTTGTGTTCTCTCTATGTTGGAAGCCAATCTTGGAATAACTCACCAGAAAACTTGTTGAATCCCTGTTCTCAAGGGATTCAATAGTTCTAGTACTGAGCCTTTTTTATTTTTGTGTTTAAGTGTCAGTTCCATATTGTTTCTTTTGGTTTTCTTTGCAAAAGTGCCTCATGAAGGTGTTACAGCACACCAGCACTGCTGCCTCTTCACAGGTCCTGTTCCAGTCAGAGCACTGAGGTTACACAAATCCACATTGATTACTACTAATGGTATTTTTACAGAATTCTTGTGTAGCTCTCACTTTGTTCAGTGGCCTTTTGAAGCCTTGACTGTCCTTGTCCCGTGTGACCTTTTAGAAGGATCTGCCAGCTTGTTTTGCTGCAGCACTCTGGGACTGCTCCAGCTGTCTGTTTCTGGAAAATGAGCATTACTACTCCAGGAAGCTGAATGCCTGATTCGATGTGGAACTTCTCCAGTGTAAGTTACGCAGGTGATCCCAAAGTTCTAGCTATAGCAGCTACTAATTTTGGAGGCAGGGCTGGGCAGCAGAGCCTCCAGTATGGCTTCAGCTGCTCTCCCCACACAGAAAAGGAGTTTTTGTGTTTTTCAAGTATTTTTCTTGAGCACTTTTATCTCCTTTAGGATGTTGAGCATGCTGTCATGCCCAGAGGTGCATTGGCTGTTGTCCTAGCAAGGAATGGAGCCCCCAGTACTGCCCTAAAATGCTTCCAGCCTTGCAAGAGAGGTGTGGGATACTGAGAAACCAGGCATCCTGGCTCCAGAAGAGCAGCTGCAAGCTGCAGCTTCTTCCTGCCAGCATCTGACAGACTTTTCACAACCTCAGGCCAGGCTGTCATTGCCTCAGGATGCGTTTCTGGTCTCCTGCCTAAACCTCCCTCATGGCAGTGTCAGTCCACTGCTTCATTCCATGTCTCCTGTGCATGTGGGAAAGATTTATTCTCCTTTTATAGAATCTGTAAGGTTGGAAAAAAACACTAAGATCATTGAGGCTGGTAGCTGCAGTTTTGTGTCTGTGTGGTGTGTTACATGTGGGGAAATGGCTGTTTCCTCCCTTGTCCCCAAAGCAGATGCAGCAGATGCATCTGGTGTTGGAATGGAACCTCTACCACAGGGATGGGGCCATGCCATTTGTGCCCTCGCTTACACAGCTCTTTGGAAAGTGCTGAGACAGGGAAGAGCTGTGGCCGCAGGGACAGCACAAACACTCCTGGAATGACCTAGAGATTTGTCTGCCTGACTGCTAGTGCATCATGCAGGGATGAAGGGAGAACAAGACCACCTTGCTCTGTGGCATCTTTTAATGCCCTGTCATTCCCCAGCTGGTGGTAGGAGCAGATACACCACTACTAGCATCCTGGAATGCTGCGTGATGCTTACCTCATCCTCAGGCTGTGTCTGCAGGAGGAGGAGGGGAGCATGGCAGGATAATGAGAGGATTACTTACAGCCAGCTTCTTTGAGCCCTGCAGCTCATCTGCTGCTTTCAGAGCTGGGGGGATGGGGTGGGGGTGGGTAGTGATAATTTAGGAACATGAGGCTGGGAAGTGATTTAATTAGGACATGGAGCTGCTGTCTTCTGGATGCAACCCTTTTCCTCCCTCCATCATGGACAGGGCTCAGCTATGCAAGAAGCTGCTTATTCCAATTATTAAACTGTGCACCTGCAACTCCTGCTCCCCCGTGCTTTCCCAAGCAAGAGGCCAGCAATCCCTGTGGGTTCCAACACCCAGCAATTCCTGTAAGAGTTCCCACTGCCCAGAGATCTCTGCAGCTCCCACTGGTCCCATCCCCACAACTGCATGGGCTGCAGCAGTGATCCTGTGCCCTGAAGCCTCCAAAATCATCTCTGGCTCAGTACTTGTGTCCATCCCTGGAGCATCCCTGAGCTGCACTTGGGGCTAAGGTCCACAGGCTCTGTTACTCACTGCCATTTAAAGGGGGTATGTGGCAGCCCCAGCACTGATTTTCTCTCTAATACAATTTCTGTATTATTCCCCTCTGGATTTGCATTTCTCCTTGTCCTGCTCCACCTGCCTTATGGAAACTGTCCTCCCAGGGTACAACAAACTGGCACTGCCCTGCCAGCTACTGTCCCAGTCCTCCCAGTCCAGCAGCATTATGGGAGAGGCTCAGCCAGCCCTGGCTGCTGCCTGTCCACTCCCATGCTGTCTGTGGGGATTATCATCCAAGACTCACATTAACCCTCTTAGCCCAGCCAAAAGCACGTGTGCCAGAGCTGCTCCTGCCCCATGGCCCATAAAGCCCTTCCCAGTTCCTGGGCCACTCCAGCACTGACCCACATACCTCCCTGCAGCTCTGGAAATAGATTGATTTCTTGCAGCCTGATTACACCATTGCCATGGCTCCCAGAGAATAGAGGACTTTATTTATATTTTTAAGCTAATTTGGAGAAGGATACTGCTCTGGAAAACAGGTGTATGGTCAGCCACAGGGAAGCAGCAAGCAGCTGCTCCTGGAGCTCCATGAAACAGGGTTCTGGAAACTGCACATGGGAATGGTTTCATTTTACATCTGTTTGGAATTGAGGATATGGATGGGGGAGCCAGGGTTTTCTCTTACAATTACAGGCTGCCATCTTAAAGCCCTGCTGATGCTGTTTACTTTGGATTTTATTTCTTTTTTCTGCTAATACAATTTTCAGGAAGAAGTTCCTGTAAAAGAGCTGCTGTCTGGATGCCAGTGGCTGCTGCCATCCCCCTTTTTTTCTGTGTGCATTGATGAGTAGTCAATTAAAAATCAGTTTATACATGTTCTGTGCAGAGCATATCCTACTGCTGTAGGATAGTCTATGACACATTAACTGACCAATTTTGCAATCCTATTTAAAAGAAAACCCACAAGAGGTTGCTCAAGAGGTCCCACTGGTCTCCCAGGTGCTGGAGAATTATACTCCAAACCTTTAGTACCCAGCTGGCTGCATCCCTGGCACCCCCTGCTCTGCTGGGGAGGACCCCGTGCTTTGCCACAGCCTATCGGGGGATTTCCATGCATTTTCAGAAATTAATGTTTTTAAACAGAATAAATATCAATGGATACAAGGCTCATTCAGTAACTCCTTGGTCTTTCGCAGCTTAAAAAGCTGATTGAGATCCCTGCTAGGAGAGCTGAGAGATGTGACTGCCATTGATTTTCCTCCACATGGGAACATGAAAGTCACACTCAACCCATGCCTCTCTGTGAGGACCTTCCTGCCCTTCCCCAGCCCTGCACTGGGCTCCTTTCTCCTCCTCTGTCCCTGTGGCTCTTTTTATTCGCCTTTGTCCTGCTGACAATGGATTTATTACTGAGATTAAAGCTGAGTCACTAAGGAGGGTTCAGCCGTGCCTCCCCAGGTGCCTGTTGAACACCTGCTTTTTAATGAAGAAGGACTCTCATCTCAGGAAGGACGTTTCCCTAGACAAAAGCAGTGTGGGGATGGGGGTAACTGTGGGCTATAATTAAATTCCCATTAATTACACAAGTTCTCATATCCTTTGGCTCATAACCTTGGGCAGCTTTAGTGACCCTGCCCTGGTGCTGGCTCAGCACTGTCCTTGCCACTCAAAGTGGGGTTCAGTCCTGTCTAGGTCAATATCAGAGTATTTGTGTACTGTAAGGCTCAAGTCCTAGCCTACCCCAGCCCTGTGGGGTCCTGGTTTCTGTGGGTCTGGCTGGAGCTTGTCTTCATGACTGGAACCCCTGTGGAAGCAGGGTGGCAGTGGGCAACATGACCCTCCCTTTCCCCACTTTCTGGGGGGGGCTTTCCTGAGCACTGAATGGGGAGCACTTCCCACTTTGAGTCTTGTGGACACAGTGATCACAACCAGCCAGAGCCATTGCAGAAACAGTGTTTATGAGGTTGACCAAATCAGCTCGTTGCTCACAAGCCACAACACAGAGGTGCCAAGCGGGGCCACAGCTCTGGTGGCAGCAGCACTGGGGCAAGGCGGGACACGGAGCAGTGCTATCAGACAGAGGGGCTCACTGGAGTTAGCATATCCTACTGAGGGTGCCCACAGCCTCTCTAGGGCCCCCCAGGGACTGGCCAGCCAGAAGTAATGGAACAGCTTTCCCACAGTCCCCAGCTCCTTGCCGCATGCAGAGGATGAGGATGGAGCAGGGTGTCCATGCTGGAAGGCCCGTCAAGTTCAACCTCACGCTTGACTGACTTCCAAAACATGCTGAAACTCTTTTCCCTTCCATTAGGCTGCCCATGGGCAAAACAGTCAGGGGTGGCTGCAGCAGTGCTGCTGGGGACACCCCCATGACACCCTTGCAGCTGGGGTGACCCCAGAGCATGGGGATGATTGCTGGGGAGGGGCCAATACTGAAAAGCACCTGCTGAGCCTGTCCCCAAGTCCCAGAGAGCCTGGAAGGGGCATCATGGGGGGCTGAGTCCCCATGGTGGAGCAGGTGGTGCTGGAGAACTGGGGAGCCAGCTCCAGGCAGACTAGCTCAGTGATGCTGCTGGAGACCTTCAGGGACAAGGCAATGTACCTGAGCACCCATACCCCACTCAGGCCCATGGCATTATCTTCCAGCAGGCATGGCCCCTAGTCCATCCCTCAGCCAGCCAGTTCCAGTGGCTGAGAAGATGCAGCCGGGCTTTTTCCATGCCAGCGTCCACTGGCTCTCCTGGGGTGCCTGCCCAGCCACCCATTCTGGCCATATCTTTTCTTCATGTCATGTCTCCAGCTGCCCCTCAGCTCCCTCAGCCCCAGCCTTTGAGGAGAGCAGCTCTGGGGATAGGGATGGCAAGGGTGCCTGTGAGGATGCATGATTGGCCCCTGCCCCCTTCCGAAGGGGACTGTGCAGGAGGCAGGGGGCTGCACTCAGGACAAGAGTAAGGATGGGCAGCACTGGGCTGCCTGTCCTGGTCTGTGGGGAACCTCTGCATCACCAGCTGCAGAGATGTGCTGTCAGACAGATGTGCTGCACAGTGCCAGGGTGTGCTTAGGGAGAGGTGACAAGGACACGGCTCCTCATGAGCAGGGTTGGCACTGGGCTGACACCCAGCTCCTGAGTGCAGGGGAAGGGGGAGAGAGGCAGCTCCTCCACACCCTGTCAAAAGTATGTGGGGAAGGGTGAGCATCCTCATCCTCTCCCGGTGGAGCCCCACACCCAGGGCAACCCCAGTGGATCTGCCATCAGAGGGACCAGGAGGAGGGGGTTGGATCTCTGGCCTCATTGTGGGAGGAGATTCCGACGCTCCCATCTCCAGGTACCCCTGTTGCCAGAGGTGTCATCTCTTGCAGTCATCGGTGTCGGTGTCTGGCAGCCCGGTGGCGGGCTGGGAGCTAGGCTGGACTGCCTGCACCCTCTCCTCCAGGCTGCCACCTGGAAACACCACGTAGCGGGCGCTGACACGCTGGGGCTGTGGCTCCCGCAGGTTCTCCTTGCTGTGCCAGATGCCATAGCCGAAGTAGACGAGCAGGCCTGCAGTGGGGACAGGGACAGCAGGGGCTCCAGCATAGCCTGGCTGCTGGCACCATCATAATTGGTACCACAGCAGAATGGGGCATGGATGTGGCTAGAAATCCAGTGGAGCAAAAAGCTAAAGCACCACAGGGGCTTAACTGAGCTACCTGCAGGAGGAAAAGGGTCCTGCAGCATGTTAAGAGCAAGTGGAGCACCCTCAGTCCCTGGGAAAGGGAAGTTTCCTGAGCCCCAGGGAGCTGCCTCAGGAGCAGGGGGTGGTTCTGGCCCAGGGCTTTAAGGATCAGAACTTTATCAGGAAAAAACTGTAACGCTCTGGGAAACAGTGAGGCTCAGGAGATGCTGGGAGACCTCAGCTTGCATCTCCAAAGGGGAATCAGAGGCAGAAAGGGGAAGGATATGCTTTATAGACCCATAAGTGAGGGAGAGGAGCTGCCAAAGCAGCCAGAGAGTGCCAAGACAAACCCTATTCCCCCTCCCCTGAGCAGCCGTGGGAGCACTCACCTAAAAGGAGCCAGATGGCGAAGCGAAGCCACGTCATGTAGCTGAGCTTCAGCATCAGGTAGATGTTGAGAATGATGCTTAGTGCTGGGGATAGGGGTACCAAGGGCATCTGCAGGAGAAAAAAAGCTGGAAGGGTGAGACCTGCAGGACCACATTCTCTATCTTTAAAATCATAGGGACAAAAGACAGCACTGGCAAATGCATGGGACAAAAGGACTGTCACCTCAGGATTTATAAAAATGGCACTTTTCTTTAAGGAAAAGGAACAATGGAGCCAGGAGCCAGGCTGGCAGAGTAGGCACAGGCATCATCATGAGGACCAAACAACCTCCTGGCATGATGGAGCCAACATGGTCCTTGCTGGAGGAGCCAGGGCAGGGGCATGATAGGGAAGTGGTATCACCACTGTTGTTATGAAGCTGCATGGACTACATCAGGGCTCAGGTGGGCTGAAAACAAGAGAGGGAGAGTACAAGAGGCATAGAAGTGGTCTGGAGGCTGAAAATGAGCTCCATCACATAGATGAAGGGCAGCCAAAGTAAGAAGCTGAAGCAGGAGAGGAGCAGAGCTGTGGGGATGCAGAGAAGGGAATGCAAGGTGGACAGGAGCAATCCCTGGGTCCCATGGTATGGGGATCCATCCCATGGGATGAACACAGAACTACTGGGGATGTCCCTTCCTGGGGATCAGTGGCCACACAGAGTAACAGAGATACCAACGCTCCCCACACCCAGTGTCCACAAACATCCTCTTCCTCCTCTCCTCCCCTCCCTCCTCCTTCTGCTGTTGTGGTGCTTTCAACAAAGTGCTGTGCCTGAGACACCTGCAAATCCGTCAGAGCTGCTCCCACCTCCCCTCACCCCCGCAGAGGAATTCCCTGCCCAGGCCCTAGGCATACCTGGAAGGTCTGGGTGCTGTGCTGCTGCTCGTGTGCCCAGATGAAGAGGAGGCTGAGCAGGAAGCCCAAACTGAAGAGAACCAGCAGCAGGGAGTAGCTCCAGGTGGGCAGGTGGAGGTGGGTGTTGCCAAACACTAAAATGGAGCAGAGGCAGATGGCAGACACCATCAGGGTCACCACAGCCACCATGACCACCTCACCAGGGTAGAAGTCACTGAGGAACTCCAGGTAGGGCTCAAATGCTGCCTTCAGCTGCCCTGGCTCCCGCTGCTCGTTGCTCTTGTCCCTGTCCACCAGCTGCAGCTTGTCGGAGAAGGACTCATACTCCTTCAGCTCGCCCCTGGATGGGTCCTCGTGGGGCTCGGGGTTGGGCCGGCCACTAGCTGCTGGTGCGGGCACATCCCCCTTCTGCTGCTGGAAGCGCAGGACAATGACGCTGGCGGCCACAAAGGTGTAGGCCAGAAGTGTACCAATGGACAGGAACTGTACCAGGGCCTCTAGGTCAAAGACGAGGGCCAGGAGGGCCATAAGCAGCCCGAAGACCACGATGCCGACGACGGGCACCTGTGTGCGGGGGTGCACTCGGGAGAAGACCTGAAAGAAGAGCCCATCTTCGGCCATGGCATAGACGATGCGTGGCAGGGAGAAGAGGTTGCTCAACAGAACTGTGTTCATTGCTGAGGGATGGGTAGAAGAAGGAAGACCCCATCAGACCCAAACCCAAACTGGGGATCATTTCCAGCCCCCAAAGCAGGGGGGGTGGGCAGCTCCCTCCCACCGCTGCCTGTACTCACCACAGATGGAGCCAGCAGCCACCAGAAACCCTGCCCAGGCATAGCCCCTCCTGTAGAATGCATCGGCCAGGGCAGAGTCAGGGTCCAGCGTGTGCCAGGGCACCATCAGCGTCAGCACAACTGACACCAGGATGTAGGCACCAGTGGCGAGCCCCAAGGAGAAAGTGATGGCCCTGGGAACAGCCCTCTGCGGGTTCCTGGCCTCTTCACTGGAGGCCGCGATGACATCAAAGCCCACAAAGGCGTAGAAGCAGGTGGCTGTGCCAGCCATGATGCCCGACAGCCCGTATGGGGCAAAGCCACCCTCCTGGGTGCTCCAGTTCTTGGGCTGTGCGAGGACAAAGCCCATAATGAGGATGAAGAGGATGACGCCCATGCTGATGACTGAGAAGACATGGTTGAGCCAGGAGGACACTTTGGCCCCAAAGGAGATGAAGGCGGTGGCTACCAGCAGGATGGCAGCTGCCAGGAAGTCTGGATAGCGGGCCAGGAATGGCACCTGCCAGGCACCCACATGGGTCTCGGTGAAGTTTTTGATCTTGTGGTTAAAGATGGAGTCCAGATAGCCACTCCAGGCCCTGGCCACCGCAGCCCCTCCGATCATGTACTCCAGCAGCACATTCCAGCCAATGAGGAAAGCCCATATTTCACCCACGGACACGTAAGTGAACATGTAGGCAGAGCCTGTCTTGGGCACACGGGCTCCAAATTCAGCATAGCAGAGAGCAGCCAGGAGTGAGGCAAAGCCGGCAATGATGAAGGAGATGATGACGGCAGGGCCGGCAATCTCCTTGGCCACGGTGCCTGTGAGGACATAAAGCCCGGAGCCCACCATACCCCCAATGCCCAGCAGCGTCAAGTCGATGGTGGAAAGGCATCTGTTAAAGGATGTCTCCATCATGTCATCCTCCAGGGTCTTTACCCGGTTGAGCTTCTGGCAGAAGCGGGTCAGGTCGGTGGAGCGGGGCAGCCATCTCGCCATCCTGGAGGCAGTGGGCCCTGCCCTCAGCAAAGTGACGGATCCTCAGCAGTGAGATCCTGCCTGGAGACCTGGTAAGAGGGGCAGGAAGGGGTGAACATTCCTTTGGCACCTGAGGTATCAGGTGCTGGGGACAGGGTGGAAAAGCCACCAGGGCACATTACAGGTGTCCCTGGCTCCTCAGCCAGCATGGAGCTCCCCAGAGGTGGCACAGAACAGGGATATGTGCCAGGTAAACCACAGCATTCCCAGGGCAGCATCTCCCCATTCAAGCCCAAACCAATCTGCTCTGGCCCTGATGAAGGTTTCTTTGCTGCCTCCTCTTCACCTAATCCAACATCTACCTGAATTTCACCCTGTTGTGTCAGGACGCCGTCCTGATGCATGCAGCATCTCCCTGCTCCCAGGATCCTGCTGCTTCCCCAGAGAAAGTTCAGGCATAATGCAGAGGCTGCAGGAGAAGTCCAGAGCAGCTCCCATGGGAGTCCCCAGCCAGATCAAAAAACAGACAGTACCAGGGACCAGCCATGCTGGCAGCTGCCACTGTGACAGTGGGAGAAGACAGTGCTAGGGACTTTCATGTGCTGCTTCCCAGCTACAACACGGGGTGATTGGTGACTCTGGGGACACTCTCCCCTCCCAGCTGCCCTCCTTCCTGTTCCAGAAGCCCCACACCTATGTAAACAACATGTCCTGCTCGGAGGGCTGGTGCAGCCCTGCTCCAGGGTCCACCTCTCAGGCCAAAAGATCCTGGAAGGCCCTGGGAGATGGCAGAAGGACAGGGCCGATGATGGTTCATGAGGACAACATGCACAATTCGTGCTGGCTGAGACTCCCACCCCTGCACAGCCAGGTCCCCGCGACTGGAGGCGTTGGCAGCACTGGGTCCCCAATCCCAACAAACGCAACAGGCGCAGCTGGGAGGACGCGGAGCTCGGTGCCCATTGGACACGGAGCATCCCCGGAGTCTGGGGGGTGGATGATGGTGGGGACCGAGAAGGGTGTGTGGGGATTCCGGATTCATCCTGGGCGGGTAGAGGCGATAGTTTCTCCCCTGCTCAGCCCCGCCACGATGCCAGTTCCGGCCGGCGCCGAGCCCCCATCCCGGCCGCGCTCCCCCAGGACGCTCCCCACA